GGATTTTATTGTTGGGTTACCACGTACTCAGTGAGGTTATGATTCAATATGGGTGATAGTGTATGGGTTAACAAAAGTTTCTCATTTTATACCGGTCAAGACTACTTATAATGGACCAAGGTTGGCCCAATTATATATGGAGAAGATAGTGTGTCTACATGGAGTTTTCAAGAAAATTGTGTCTGATCGGAGTACTCAATTTACATCTCTTTTTTGGCAGCAAGTACATAGCTCATTGGGAACAAAGTTGAATTTTAGTACAGCGTATCATCCTCAGACAGATGGACAAACTGAGAGGATTAATCAGATATTAGAGGACATGTTGAGAGCTTGTGCATTACAGTACGGTACAAGTTGGGACAAGAGTTTGCCTTATGCAGAGTTCTCGTATAACAATAGTTATCAGAAGAGTTTCAATATGGCACCTTTCGAAGCTTTGTATGGATGAAAGCGTAGAACCCCGTTGTTTTGGAATCAAATGGGGAAACTCAAGTGTTCGGACCCAATGTTTTAAGGGACGCAGAAGAGCAACTAAGGATGATTAGAGATAACTTGTGAGTGGCACAATCTCGACAGAATAGTTATACCGACATTAGGAGAAGAGAATTGGTTTTTGAAATATGGGACTATGTTTACCTAAAGGTGTCACCTATAAGAAGTGTGAGAAGGTTTAATATGAAAGGAAAGTTAGCACCAAGGTATATTGGGCCTTTCAAGATTTTAGAGAGACATGGTGAAGTAGCTTATCAGTTGGAATTGCCTGAGAGCTTGTTAGGTGTACATGATGTGTTTTATGTGTCCCAGTTAAAGAAGTGTTTGCATGTACTAGAGGAGCAGATACCATTAGAGGAGCTTACAGTTAAGGAAGATCTCACCTATGAGGAATTTCCGGTAAAGATTTTGGAGATGGCAGAAAGGGTTACAAGGAGCCGGGTTATAAAGATATGTAAGGTTCAGTAGAATCGGTATACGGAAGATGAGGCTACTTGGGAAAGGGAAGAGGATTTGAGGAGAACATACCCGCAGCTTTTTGAGTAAACATCGTTCGAATCTCGAGGACGAGATTCATTTTAAGGGGGGTAGAATTGTAACACCCTAAAATTTGTATGGTTTTAAAATAGGAGAAAATAATTTAATTATGCATTTTGTGAGCATTAAAATTTAGAAAAATAATAACTTTGTTAAAATTAAAAATCAAATATAGGTCTACATACATGTTTGTGCACTCATGCTGATGCATATTTATTTTGTGATGCTTTAGTTTGATTGAAATTTGTAAAAGAATTTGAATTTGATTTGAAATTGGATTTGAAATTGTGTTTAAGAAAATAGGAAAGGGAATTTCATTTTCTTCTCCCTCTCTCCGATTCTAGCCCAGCTTGGCCTAGTTCTCCCTGTGTGGTCCATTTCCCCGCTAGTAGGCCGGCTTCCGTTCCCATGGCCCAGCTCTGCTCTCTGCTCCTCGCTTACCGTAGGCCCAACTCTCTCTCGGCCCAGCTTCGCCCAAGGCCCGCTTGGTAGCGCACCCGCGTCGTTTCTCTCTCGCTGACAGCTTGGGCCTGCACGTCAGGGTCTTCCTCTTCCTTCCACGCGTGTCCAGCATGGACACTACCGGTGCCACCGAGTCCGCCTCCTCCACGCCGTGACCTGGCATGGCCCGCACGCCGAAGCAGCCCCATAAATAGTGCCTGACCCCGCACCACCACCTTCCTATCTCGCCCCAATGCAGCTGCCCTCACATTGCGCCAGTCGCCGCAACCCTAGCACCGCCGCCATCACCGCCCGCCTCGCCAAGCACCACGCCGCTCCCGTTCGCTTCACACCGCGGTAAGCTGTTTAGTCGAGTTCGCCTTGCTCTCCTCTTTCTCTTGATGCCTTCGGTTTGTTTCCCCGTGGTCCATAGGTCATATCCCATGTGCGCTGCTCTCCTCGCCATGGCGCCACCGTTGAAGCTCGCCGCCGGCCTCGCCGTCCGCTCTCTCTTTGGTTTATTTCAACCGTCCGATCCAAAATTAAGGGCCGAGATTAGAACATACGCCTTCGCCTGTCGTTTTACAAAAAGGCCCTTATAATTATTTGGATCTTAACCTGTTGTCCTTGCATTTATTCTAAAGAGCCCTTGTGTTTCTTTGTTTTTATTCCCGCAGTCCTTGGCTCGGCTTAAAATCTGATTTTATTTATTTAAATTCAAAAAATTAAGTTTCATCTATTTACAAAACTGCCACTACCTTCTGTAGGTTATAAAATTTCCGTTTTAACTCCGATTTGATCCGTTCAAGTTGCGTTAGGTTCGTAATTGAGTAATCTACATGTTCATATTTCTGTTAAGTATGTTTCAACTTTTAAAATTCGAGGTTAGATTTAATCTATTATTTTATTAAAGGAAATCTTGTTTAATTCATAACTTCTTCATTTTAGCTTCGATTTTTGTGATCTTCGCGTCTGTGTGTTCATAACGAGACGTAGATTCGTTTTGCAAATTTTTCATCTTGATTTTATGTTGTTGGTGTACTGTTCTAATCTATAGCTTTTGTTTGCTATGTCTGATTGCTTCTGATTGCTTGTATGTTGCTGTGATTATCGAGTATAGACGGTGAGCAATTCGTGGGTGAACAAGAGTACTACCTTGACGAGCAGGATCAGCAGGAGCACTTTGTTCAAGGCAAGTATAGCATGAGATTATCCTTACTTCCTATCAACTTTAACATATTTAATTCATGTTGCATATGGCACCTTGAAAGGGATTCCCTAGAATTGAACTTATACCTTGTCTCATATGGGATATGCATTGGGTAGCTTTGCTAGTGCTCAATTAAACCATGATCTTGTAACTTGACTAATGGTATATGCAATAAACATTAAAATATGACTTTTTAGTAACATGGAAACAAGGGGGCTAGAGTGTTTAGCTACTTTCTAAATGCTTTAGATTCATCTCCCTAATGACTTATCTGTAAGTGATTATCCGAGACTTATAGTACAACTATAAGGGCTACATGGCTCTGGCTTTAGCTCGGTATGAGGACTTTTTCTAGCTTGTTAGTGGTTACCTTTATTGGCGTAAGAATGACTCGATGAATTGTGTATGGGACAACCTCTACTCTTATGTGTATAGCCGTGAGGGAATTGTGACATTCAATTGGGGGTTCCTATATCTGTTTGCCGAGTGAATCTAATGGTCCTAACTTGTTAGACGAACCTTTGAAAGGCTTCATAGTGAACCATGCCTGCTCATCTTGAAAGTATTTTTGGAGTAATTAACTCGGGCATATGGGTATCCCAACTCACAATGAAAGTGTACAACCTCTACAGAGTGTAAAACTGGTATATCAGCCGTGCTCACGGTCACGAGTGGCCTTGGAACCCTTATGGAATAGTGGATCACTAAGAATTATCTGTTTATGCTATTTATTATTCTTGTTTACACTGTTCATGTGTTTTACTTTGGGATTGAAACAACTTGTTGCTACTCTTATGCTAAAATTGTGATAATTAAAAGCTGAATGCTGTTAAACCTGTGTCAAGCCTTTTAAGCCTCATGAACCTCATATTACACTTGTTGAGTACGACATGTACTTACGCTTGTTTATTTTTATTATTTGGATAAAAATTTCAGAGGGGTAACAGATGGCTATGGTAATAACGACTTTCCTGAGGAATATTAGACTTGTGGTCAACCGGTTAACGTCCCTGTGATATGAAGCTTCCGCGAGAGATTTTACTTTATACTTCCGCTACATTTATGTGAAGACTATGTCTTATTATTCGTGATGTAATAAACACTTCTGATGATACTATTTATAATTTATCGGCTTATGTGTGTGACTGATCTCTGGACGTACATAAGATTTTGCATCCCATTTTATCCTTAAAATCGGATGTGACATTCTCAAAAAAAAAGAAGCATTCAGTCTCCAATTGTGTAGACTATAATGAACATCGATAATAATAACCATAGGATCGTGTTATTTTCTAAATAATTACGCACCTCTATGAATGTGTAAATCAATGAAAGGTAACCCAAGAATATTTATTTTAATTACCACTTAAGCTATTAGATACATAATATATGCGACCCCTTAAATTGTACATCTAAATTACCTCTTCTGACATTATTAAGTATACACCAAACTTTTCAATATATTGTATTGCAAAAAAATTAAATGACAATATAATAAAATTTGATTAAAGTACATGCACATCATATACTTGTGCATACGTGATATAAATATATATGTTATGTTTTAGCAATCATGTAAAAAGACTTCCTACACTAATGATACTAACAAATTATTTAAAATTATTATTAATAACCAGGACATATAATGTATAAATTATTACTTACATAATTTATACACTTTAACTAAAGCATTTTACATATCTTTATTAATAGTATAATCATTACTGCATAAATTACTCTTTGGCAATAAAATCCAAACGTCTTGACAATGTGGGGAGGATATTGTAGACTACACGTGGCTATATTTTCCTGTTCTTTGAGATTTCTTAAGTGCAAAAAGTCATTATAAGGCTTAAACATTAATATCCTCTTGAGTTTAGCACAACTACCCATCCTAGATCTCTCACCAAGCTCTAAACTGATCTAAAGCAATGTGGTGTAGGTTGAAGTGACTATTTAGGCCATCATTGTACTTAAGAGTGCAACCTACGACCCAAATTCCTTATGTAGCAATAAATTGATGAAAAACGTATAGATAAGTATAATTGATAGGTTTACCACAACTAAATAGACACAACAAAATATCTGATGTGCCTATTGTGTTAAAAATGAACAAAGAGAAAAAAATAATTTAATGCAAGTACTTTTAATCATCTAGAGACATTAGACAATAAACTAATATCTCTTATAAGATTCTAGCCCGTGCGAGAGCACGGGTTGATGGACTAGTTTATTCTCCAATCTCAGAATCATATCTGCAACTAAAACTACATGTATAGTGCAAATCAATACTCCAGCCCATCCTATGATACATTTAATTTTACATGCTATTTACAGAGTGAAGCAAGTATGCGTCGTGGGGACTTGAAGACCGCCGACCATGTAAGACCGCCCAGTTGTCTATAAGAAGAATGTCACCTTGTTGCCATGGAATGGCCACGCATTCTTCTTCTAAGATCTTCCCACATTCGTCCATGATATCACCAGGCAAGGGCGAGCCATCGCCAAACGAGACTGTATTCACACGACCATTCCGAGCATCCTTCCACCCTGTGTAGGCAGCAACCATGTTAACGAACCATATTTTCCTTCCTCGTCTCTCATCCCATTTAACTGCTGGTATTGGGCCTGTTACTGTTTTAACTCGGTCCCCAGTCCATTCCAGTTCCATTCCACGTGCTGCAGCCCTGTTGAAGGACAGCAGTTCAGAAATCAGGTGAGAACAGTACAGTCACTGAGTTAAATTAAATAATATATTGTTGAAACTCCATTTCAACCCACTTTAAAAGTTGTCACCATCCTGGACCATAAGGTGGAAGGTGGTATCAACATCTGTACTAATGACATGATTAACAGAGCGTTCGGCTGGCTGGCCGGCTGGGGCTGGGCTGGCCAGGCGCTATCACAGTGGCACTGTTCACATGAACAGTATTTTCAGACGGAACATTATTTTTCCCTCACAACAATCAGCCGGAAACAGTATTTTGACTTATTTTTCAGTCCTGCCGAACAGACTGTAAAGATCTAAATGCCATGGCCGTGATGCCATTGGAAGAAAAAAAAACTGACCAAACCTACATCCAGCTGGGTGCCACATCTAACGCCAAGTCAAGAGGGACATTATACTGTCTCAAGAACTGATAAGTGTGCCAACTTCCCCACCCTGCTGAGTGAGCTTCTGGTGGGTGCAATCTCGTTAGAGTAATCATGGGCTGCTGGTGTGAGCTTCCCCATCTGGCACATTGCAGGATAGAGCCTTGCGAGATAATCACCCTGGGGACTGCAGAGCTTCTCTGACGGTGTTTGGAGCGATTCAGGTTGTAGGAAGACAGAAAAACAGGGTTTAAGGGGGCTCGAGCTCAGACTGCCATGCCCATAGGCCATAGGAGATACCGGAGTACCCAAGAGGCATCGAAGAGATAGGAGTGCATTGGAACTGATGTGGCATCCAGTTGGACATAACAGTTGGAATAGGCCAGTGAAACAGGCCATTTTTCATGGAACCAGCTCTGTACAATATTTAATTATAGATGTGATACAGCATTTAGTGAACTTCTACTCCAACCAAAAAGAGGTATTCCAATTGTAGAGGCTCAACATTCGCTACAACTTTTTTTGCATATAGAGCGATGTCACTTTGACAAAACCACATATATATGGAACTTTGTCTGAAGTTTTTCTGTGACAGGGGAAGGATGATTGTCAGAAACCCCAACTAGGAGCATTTAAAAAAAAAAAAGTGACCAGGTTACCTTTTGGTTGCCATCCACGACGACTTTATCACTAGTGGCAAATACTGATTGCCATCCACGACCGATTGGAGAAGATGAGTGGTCACCCTCTCCTAAGACTCTTGTGTAAATCAGGCCACACTTCTCCAGCTTCTCCACAAATTCCGGGAACTTGTCATTTACAACACTACTGGTGTCTCTCCATCACTCTTTGCTTCGACTTCGCAGAAGAACAACAATTTGGACGGAAATGTTGGAGCCTAAAGGAAGTGGATATGCCATGATCGTCAGTTGGGGAATCTAGCCATAACATCAATGTTCCCAAATGATACGATTTTGCATAACTGAAGTTCATGTGAATTTTATTAATTTTGATGAGGGCCGACCGGACGAGCAGAGCAGGATGGGGGATACTGACGGACCTGCGCCATCTCGTGGTGGAAGGGGATGCTCTGGTCGGGCGGCGACTCGTTGGCGGTGAAGACCCGGCCGACGACGTTGGTCCGAGGCGCCGCGACGACGTAGGGAAGCTCCTCGTACCCGAACGCATCTACGGCGCGGTCGAAGTCCGCGGCCGTCCGAGCGGGGAAGACAACGCCGTCGACGCCCCGCTGCTGCGGGAGGCGCGCGTCCTGGAAGTGGCTCCCTGGTTGCGGCTCCATCTGGTGGTCGAATTGGGCGGTGGAGCACTATCGGCTTGCGCAGGGAACCGGATGCATGCGTCATAGGCCACGACATGGTTCCCGCTGACGGTGAAGTCGGCGAGCGGGCCAAGCCCATTGTACACCCGACGGAGCTGCCCCTACTGCGACGCGAGCGTGGACGGCCAGAAGAAGAGCGCGGGCGGCGGCTTGGTGCAGCAGGGAAGAGAGAGAGAGAGAGAGACCGAGAGGGAGTAGGGTGAATAAGGGATAGATGCTTCGATCCACATGACAGCCGACAAACTGTCAAAATGCGATAGATGCGGATGACAGTGGCATGAGAGGAACAAAAGTTTTGACTAGTGTCACTGAAGACCGATAGACCTTTTCAATGGCTCATATGGAATTTTGAACTTTTATAATGACACAGGAAAAAGACTCTCGATAAAATGGCAGTTCTTAAAATAGGAAACACTTGATAATCATTGATAAGTAGTCTTGTAGTTTATTATCCTTGGGTACATGCATCGATGATTGGGTAGAACATCTTCATGATGTCCATCTACAATCTTGAGAAAGCATGCCCTCTTATTAGCAACCAGGGCATTCCTTCAAGCAATCAATCAATTTCATAAACCATTTCAAAGTCTTTTTGCAGATCCACACTAGTCTTCTCATATCTTGATAGCACTTGTCATCACCTCCACTCATGACAATTATGTAGCTTGTTGGGCTCGTCGTTGTCATCATCATGCTCTTAGTGTTGCTATCCTCTTTGGTTTCACCTAATAGAAATAAACCAAATTACATCATAATGAACACTATATGTATATCTATTTACCTCAAAATAAAATGGCACTATTTTATTAATTACCTCTTATTATCTGGGCATGAACAACAGAGCATGCGAGAAGAACCATGAAAAGCAGGCAGAGCCCTCGGATCCTTGTGTGCTCTAGGCACTTCGCCATTGGTGATAGGTTAGAGCTAACACAAATGGCTTGTTTGTCTGAATAATGTGTATGATGTCGACCTCTGCACCATATGTGTTCTATATATACATACACTCCAAAGTGAATGGATATCTATCTATCTATATATCTATGTCTATCTGTCTATATCTATCTATCTATCTATCTATCTATCTATCTATCAATCTATCTATCTAATTATCTATCTATTAAATAGATACATAGAGACAAATATGAAGCCAGTTAGATAAAGATAGATGGTTAGATAATCTAACAATATATCTCTATCTACCTGTCTATCTGTCTGTTTGTATCTATCTATCTATCTATAATCCATCAATCAATCTATCCATGCATCTGTCTAGCCATCCATATCCATCTATATCTGTCTGTACACAAGTTTTGGAAGCCTATTATATTTCAGTATGCTTAGACATTCGCTGTAGAATGCACTATCGGGTTTTGTTTTCATTTGGCCATAATATTAAGAGGGCTGGGGGGGTGTTGTTCTACGGCAGAGTCTTTAGTGAGAGGTTTTGGATGCACAAAAGGCTATCTCTCTCAAGATCATGGTGGTAAGTGACGCCATTGAAGTGGTTTAAAGTCAACGATCTCAAAAAAGTTGAATTGTCGAGATAAGACTTTAAACAGGCTTGAAAACAACACTGGATGATAGCGATCCTTGACAGATAGTCTAAGGATACTGTTGCTGCGAAAATTTTATCCACGCGACACCACGATAACTATCGTAATTCGTGACGACGAGCGACTAGTTTCTCCACGACAAACTAGCAAAGGGGTTCCTCGCTTTCTTAGTGGAGAGCCAACCGTATTTGAGCGCAAAATGGCAAAGCTTACCAACTCCTAATGGAGATTAGGGTTTGGTATGTACTACTGTCAAAAGCAGAAGAAAATATAATGCTGAAAAAAATAATAGATCGATAATGTCAATTGGCTAGAGGGTCACAATCAGCAGTATATACCCGGTATTTATACATATAAGTGGGTATGCTATGGTCTTTAGCAAACGGAGAAGACTCCTTTGCAAGCACAAATTGGATATAATATTTCTAATTCCTGATTAGTTTGGCCATACGTACATGTGTATTTAAGTCCAGCACTAGTACGTCCCCTATTCTTGCTTGTGCGCGTGCTTGGTACTGGTTGTAGCATCTCATCAAGTCCTGACCCTGACCCTGACCCTGTTGTAGCATCGGCCAAGCTTCCTTCTGGCCCCGTAAATTCCAAAGTTGATTCTTCCATTCAAATCAGTTACAGTTCATCAACAAAATTCGATCCATAAATCTAAGTACCAACTAAACTAATTTGGCCAACTACAAATCGAAGAGCCAAATTATGTTATCAACAGCGATAATGATTTTGCCCACGGAGTGGTCACCGTATGATTATGTTATCAACAGATACAATATGGTGGTAATGATTTTGCCCCAGTACCGGAGTGATCCGTACAATTAGAGAATACTTGCTTATTTTCTTCCTTATCTTTTCTTGTCCTTAATACTTCTCTTCGAGTAGGGGCAACAGCATACCGTACTTCTTTTCGCTGGACACTGTACTTTATGACGTTTCTTCGACACAGCATCACAAATCAAAAAGGGCAAGATGTAATATGTGTTTATGTAGCTATCGGTCAAAGGGCATCCTCCGTGGCTCAAGTAGTAACTACTTTCCACAAGGAAGGGGCCATGGAATACACAATTGTAGTAGCTGAAATGGCGGATTCACCTGCTGCTTTACAATATCTTGCTCCTTATACGGGAGCGGCCCTAGCTAAGTATTTTATGTACCACGAATGACATATTTTAATAATTAATGATGATCTCTTCAAACGGCACGAGCTTATCGCCAAATGTCCCTTCTATTAAGAAGACCTCGCGACCGTGAAGCTTATCTACGGGATGTTTTTTATTTGCATTCACGCATTTTAGAAAGAGCTGCTAAATTCAATTCTCTTTTAGGCGAAGGGGTCGGAACTAAGACGTCAATAGCTTATTTTAAGTGACGTATTCATGTCGGGAACAACAAGCAAGGATAAAATGAAAGTATGAGCCTACACCCATATAGAAATTAGTCATATGCATGATAGTCTATCTATTCTTTCTCAATGATAGTATTATTACCCGAAAACAATATGCACAGAGGAAGCTAGTTTTGTACTCTAGTTCTGTCCCCAAGGCGCGAGTGAAGCCCTTCTCCAGTCCGGTAAATTCAGTACCAATTTATTTAATCCAGAAAAGCTAGTTTTGTACTCTAGTTATGTTCCCAAGGCGCGAGTGAAGTCAAGTTCTCCAATCTGGTAAATTCAGTACCAATTTATTTAATCTAAAAAAATCTATTAACATCATATTTGTGGCATCAGACATATGCACGTGTGATCAAGTGTAATGATGTAACACCCTACCAATTTATTTTCTCCAGGAAATTATATTAACATCTATTTGTGACATCATACATATGCACGGGTGATCAAGTGTAATGATGTAACACCCCGCATCAAAAAACTGCTTATACAGCCCTAGCTCCGCACGTGTGGAACGGACCTACATACGTGTAGCACCTCACTTACACTTTCGTCCTCGCTTTATGTAAAAGGGTTAACCCGGAGGTGCTACGTTTGGAACAATAAGGATTATAAGTTGGCCCTCAACCTCCTAAACTAAGATGGTACTAAACCCACCATCCACAACCACACATGTGCCACTTGGGCTACATGGGCCAACTAAGGATACCCAGTGGCACCAGATCCAACGCTACTTGACATAGTGTTTGTTGATGTAGTCATCCCACTTGATGTCATGCCGATCCCTCCTTGATGTCGGAAGTAGTAGGAAAAAGAATAAGTTGTTGCGCTCCTAAAAACCTCATTGCTAGCCTTCACCCGAGCAGATGAACACAGAGGATGGCATGGATTAGAAGTTTGCTCTCCCTATTCCTATGCGCATAGGAACCAGGACGGGAATAGCTCAAAAAGCACTACAACAGTGAAGTAGTGTTCTTGGTTGTCTCTTCTCACCTACGAACAAGAGAAAGAGGGCTCCTTTTATGTTGCAACAAATGAAGACGAAGATGAAGAGCCATGCACATGTAGAGATAGTCGTAATCATGTCATTGTCCATTACCAATGACTTATAAAACTAACAAATGAATTATTTGTTACTAGTAACGGAAACCAATAAGACATCATGAACCACTAACACATAATGGTCATCATGCACTTAACTCTCATCAAATGATTAGTTACACCACAAAAAGGACCCGACAAATTACACCTAGGATCACTACTAGAAATATCTTTGGAGTCCGAATCCGAAAATAGATCGCTTTTATGACGAATATTTATTTGTCTAGATCAGTGGTGACGGATATGGTTGACAAAAATATATTGGATGTGACTCATCCTGTGAAGTGGAAACAAAATGTGTCTTTGTCATGAACCATTGCAATATTTGACTCAGAACAAATGGCCGTCATAGATCTGTGTACTTTCTCCATCCGAAGCGTGTACCTATGGGACCTGAGGTTACTCATCCATGACGCTTGTAATTCATCATAAAAGTCTCCGCTCGTGCGGCGGTACTTGTGGGGCCCTTCTTCCGAGCGAGGTACCTATGGGACTGAGTCTCATCCTACTTGCAATTCGTCATTGAAGTCTCCGCTCGTTCGTTTCTCCATCCGACGAGTACCTACGGGACCCTTCAGCATCTGACCTGTGGGACCAGATGACTTACGTGTCATGTGTACCTGTGGAACCATTCTCCATCTCCATCCGCCCTATGGGACTCGACGGACCTATGGGACCTGACGGGTTGCATGTCACGTGTACCTATGGGACCATCCGACATTTGGGACTGGACGGCCAGTGGGACCTTTCTACATCTCCATCTGACCCGTGGGACCTGACGGCTTGCGTGTTACTTGTTGCCGCCGTGGTTTAATAAATTCAAACTAAAAAAACCATGAGACCTAGGAGTCGAACCTAGGACCTAGATCAAGGAATAGACCGTCTTCACCATTGCGCTAGACGCCTGGTTGTGTTGACATGTCTTTGGAGTCCTAATAGTAGTATATGTTCTCTGTGTGGATAGGTTGACTTATATATTGGATGTATCCCCTGCAAGTGGAAACAAATCTATGCCATTGGACTTGTGGTGGCAGCGACAACAGAGGATCCCCAGTGTGCTATGGTGGCTCTGGCGTCCTTTTGGAGGCTAGGCGACGAGTCTTCCTAGTGGAGCACGGTGGCATTAGCGTCTGTGTTCATCGTGTGCCGCGATAGAGGCGACAGATCCGATCTGTAGGTCTCCTTTCTCGCCTTTTCCTACCTTCCCTATTTTGGTCCTTGCTTAAACATGAGGTCTACAAGAAATATTGTAGTGTTGCAGATCTAGTTAGGCCAATGCTGATTAAAAGAACTAGGAGGTGGCACTGGTTGATTTTCTGCTAGTGTCTTGGTTTTCTGCATATGTTCAGTGTTCTTACTGTAAATGCCTGTGTGCAACTAGGCCTGTTAATTGTCAAGTGCTTGCTTGATTATACCTATCTATCTAGGCAAACATACAGGCCCTTTGCTTCTGCCTTAAACTATTTTTTCTGTCTAGTGCTTGCTTGATTCTACATTTCTATTTCGTATGCTCTAGTGCCACCGGTGAGTCCTTATGTATTTTGAACTTGTAACATATCTGAGGCCACATTTCTATGCTAATGGTGTCTACATGGCTGTTAGATGTATTAGGATGCAGCTCATATGTTTGCTTTTTGTGTCTTCTCCTTGTTGACAACCAAGTTATCCATTTGGTTCCAAACAAGAGGAAGGCAATGAAAGCAAATCAATGCTTTGTGTCCATCATTCACATCATTGAGGCCAATAATGTTTAAGCTGCACATGTTGCTACTGATGCCAATGATGATCACTACCACTTGTTCACTGACATTCTACTTGTGAAAACTGAGGAAGCTCAATTAACTGCTGAAATTGTAAT